ATCATTTCATAATATTAAGGTGACCAAATTCATTCGAAAACGCAAACATGCATTATATTATGCAACGTGATTGAAACCGGATATAATTAAGGGTTGTTTATAAATACCAGAACATTTTCAGTGGTGCTGTCCAGATGAGTAGTGTTCCTATTCTCCTACATTTTCATCACCAATTGTTATTTCATTGGCACATGACTGTGCAGTGTGCTGGGATGTTGCATTTTCCTTTATGTATGTTGAGGTCTACCACACTGTCTGTATTCACCTGAATTTGTTATTGTGTGTGTATGGGAAATCATACAGACACTCCGTATATAGCTATGATAATTGTTGGTCTGTTTGTCAGAAGAGAAATCGGTATTTTGATTTGTGAAAAGTATTGGTTTTTAAAACTATGCGTGATAACTGTTTCAAATGAAGACTCTTGAAATCCGGGTGCAGAATATAGATGATCACAATGATTTATTCTGGTTAGGGATATTTAGCAAGATTATATTGTATAGGATGGTTTCGTTAACCACACACTCAACATTTCTACATTATATGTGCTTAAGTCGAGCAATAACCTTATACGAACTCTAGGCAGAATTAGATGGTAGACAATGATCAATAGAAAATCCTGAATCTATGTTTGTACTTGTTGTCATTCCTCAGTAGTGTGTTCTTGTAATCTTGTAGCAAGTGAATCGCCATGTGTTTGTTTAACGTTTTTTGATGAGTGCCAACTTAAATAAAACTTAATTACCTGGTTTCCTGATCATTACCTTTAACCGTAAAAAAATAATCAGAAACCATCGTTTCTAGTAGTCTAAAGAGCCAAAACCTAGAAATACTTGGTGGATTTGACTGACTTAACTGAATAAGGCTACTGAACCACAAATATATAATCGTGTATGAATTTAACATAATATAATAACCCCTGCTTATGTCTGAAAAGTACATTTTTTTTAAAAATTCATTGAAAAATCAGTCGTTGTTTTCATTTGAAGTTCATGTTGTTGTTTCTTTATAGTTTACAAATACAAATTATTATGCTTACAGTCATTAACCCAAAAAGGTATTGGGAGTAAACAACGAATATCGCAATATACATTCTCCAGAAAAATGTCCATCGAAAGTTTAGACGAAAATATCAGATAAATCTTTTTCTCTCTTTATTTACATTGATGAATATATGCTAGTCATTTCACACAAGTTCAAATATGGGTTCGAGTCCCGGAGTGAACATCAACTCAGGGAAGCAGGTACATCCAATCGATGAGTCCCAAATAGGACGAAACGCGCGTCCTGGATTCCACTACTAGCCATATCCATCTTTGCTTAAAAAGCTTGTGACTTAAGGCTGTAACAAGGCAATCCGCACAGGATGCACATATATCAACATGAGACTGGTCAATTGCATTCCTAAATCACTGAAGATTCTAGACATTCCATGGATTGAGTCTACAATCAACCAGGATCTAAGTGAAACTCTATCAGCAATGATTAGAATTATTTAACATGACTAATGTTACTATTGACTGTTCAATCATACCTGTAAATTAATGTTGTTTGTTACACTGAAACATATTCACCTCTAACCAATCATTACAGTCACGATGATTTCATTTACTGCTCTACTTTCTATTCTGCGAGCACTATCTGTGAATGTGTTTTCATCTTTCCATATAATTCACTAATGATGTAATCTGTAGTAACCTGACATTTCTAGTTCTGGCATTATGTGTATACCAATTGAATTGTTTGTTGTATTGCTCAAAGTTACTATTTTATTGTTTATTCAGCTTATTCATGAACAATATATACATCCAGATATTTAAACATAACTAATTGTGATTAAAAAGTTAAATTCATGAGTTAATTAAAGCTAGTACACCATTGGAAAACCTGGAAGCACTGAACGGCCCTTTCGTCCTAGTACAGGAATCCTCAGCAATGCGCATCCACGATCCCGCGCCGCGAGATTCGTACCCAGGACCTATCAGTCTCACGCGCAAGTGCTTAACTTTTAGACCACTGAGCCGACCGGCATCCAACAGTATTAATGTCTAATTTCAACCAATCCACAAAGTTGCACCACTTTCCATCTATTTTATTCTAAACAATTATATTGTCTCTTAAAATTGAAAATAGAATCTGTTGTAATTAAACATTATTATTATGATTATTACATTTGTTTGTTGTGTCTAAATTGAAATAAATAAATTTGAATGAATTAATTATTGTTTACAATAATATTTTCCTAACCTTATAATCAATTTAATTTGTTTTATTCAATATTGTTTATATTAAATTCGTACATCCGGTTTATATATATAGAGAGAGACAGAATGTAAACACTTTTAAATGAATATTTGATTGATTTTTTGATTATCAGTACAAGGTTATAGAGATTGTTGAGTTTTAATTGGAATGATGAATTGATCAATGTTAGACAATCACTGAAAACCTGGAAGTACTGTAAGAATGCTTCGTCCTAATATGGAACTTGTCAGTATTACGCATCCATGATCCTGTACAGGGGTTACGAATCAAACATCTTCGATCTTGTGCGTGAACACTCAAACTCTAGACCACTGAGCTGGAATTCAACGGTGTTAATGTTTAACTTTAACCCACAATCCACGATATTGCTTAACCATCTTCAATTGTCTTCGGTTGGGTAACTGCCTCATACCCGACACGGGTTAGCTCCAGTAGTCACAGCTTCGCACTGGATCTCCGAGTATTACCTTTCGGAGTTAGTCACTTGTGAGCATATGGTAATTATCTGTACAGGGTTGTGGAGATTGGTGCAACCATTCTTTTTGAAAACTGTTTGAAGTTGTTTTAATAACACTGATTGCAAAATAACTAGTTTCTTTTTAAGAAGACAAGTTATATCTTTTAGGCTATTCTGTTGGTTGTGAACAGATTGATTAATGAGAGATAGTCAATTAACTAAAGAAGTCCGTATTTCATCTGGTTTTGTGTACTTTAATGTTGTATTTATGTATGCTATTATTGTTACGTTGTTACATTATGTACTATTTAGAACAGTGATGAATTTTGTAAATAGCATGTACATATTTCCTAATTTGTTTGAAGGATAGTTTATGTATGATGTGTATAAGTTAAAGAATAATCTCATTAGCTGTGTTACATTGGCGGTCTGTTCATATTTCTGGAACGCTATTTATCTAAATATAGTATGTTGCCTGTTTTAAATGCATTTTAGTTAACCACTCATAACTATCCATTTTCATAGAAAATTTACAACTTATCACGAAGTGAATTACTGAAAACCTGTAAAAGTACCATCATGGTTATTCTTACATACTCTATATCCTTTTAAAGAAACAAGAAGTGATTACAACGGAATTCATACATCAAATATTTGAGGCTAAGGAAAGCGATACTATAGGAGTAAGATTGATCGTAAACATTTACTGATGAATATGAATAGCAGAGAATTACTGTTTTAAAACTTTTTCACAATGGTGGATGTGTCACTCAAATTCGTGGATTAGTTGAAGTTAGACATTAACACTGTTGGATGCCAGCCAACTCAGTGGTCTAGATATTTAGCGTTCGCGCGAGACCGATAGGTCCTGGGTTCGAATCGGGATCGTGGACGCTTACTGCTGAGGAGTTTCATACTAGAACGAAACGACCGTCCAGTGCTTCCAAGTTTTCCATAATGGTCTAGCTTCAACTGACTCGTGATCTCAACTACTGAAATTATATTTGTTAATTATGTCAATTTCTAAGATCATACAACATTTGGTTGTATTCAGTAAATTATCGATTAATCTCATTAATGAATCCAACTAATATGATTTATTTTATTCAAGTTTAAGCTTTTAATCAATGTGAAATAAATCAATATAGAAAACTAAGTGCATTTAGTTAGGATTATAAAAATAATCACCAACGTTCTATTTACCAGTCTTTCTTTTTTAACACCATATCAACAAGACTGTGCGTGCATGTGTGTGTGTGTTTGTGGTTTTCTGAATAGAAAAATTGTATTGTATTTTAGACAAAGAAAACAATCTTTTTATTTTTAAATTATCAAATAACAACACGGTCATGTAAGTCAATATTTGATCGACATTTAAGTTAAAAAGAATAATTTATGAATGCATACATACTGTTTCATAGATATGTACAAAGAATGTAGCATAACTACACATTGTATATTGAGATCACCAGGGTAATCTAAGAGTAACAATAGTATTGTATTAGATAAGAAAAAAGAAGACTAGGTTTAAACTTTCTAGTGTTTATGACTTTGACAAAACCTAATGAGTTCAAAGTTACTTGAGTGTCAATGATTTTGAATAATTCTGAAACCTCAACTTCATATTCACTATCAAGTAAATGATAGAAGATGGAATTATAAAAGGAATGCTGATCTCAGGCACAATATTTGAGGAACATGCTGGGAAAAACAAACTTTAACTTTCCATTCTGTACTTCCGATGCATGTACTTCGGCATGTGTATGTAAATTGGTAGACAGAATTGGAGGCAACAAACAATTTGTTTGATATATTTCTATAAGTTTATATGCTCAGAACAGAACAAAAAGACTAGGAAAGCATGACGTTTTAAGCAGAATTGTATAGTGGCTAGAAATAGAATCCAGAGCACATATTCCATCCTAATTGGGACTCATTAGCTGGATGTGCCTACAACCTAATATTAATCTTCACATCGAAAATCGAACACAGTACCTTTCGCTTCAAAAGTCAACACGTTATCTACTTAACTACTGAATTCAAATAGTCACTGGCTTATGAAACAGGGTCAACTTTAATCCAATTGTATTATCCAACTTTACTTAAAATATCTATAATCTAATAGCACTATTGAGGTGATCAGCAAAGAATGCTTACTAATTTACTTACGCCTGTTACTCCTTGTGAAGGAGCATAGGCCGCTCACCAACATTCTCCATCCAACCCTGTCCCAAGCAATCCTTTCCAGTTCCTTCCAGTTGTTAATCATCCTTTTCATATCTGCTTCTATTATCCGACGCAATGTGTTCTTTGACCTTCCACTTTTCCGCTTCCTTTCAGGATTCCAAGTTAGGGCTTGTCTCGTGATGCAGTTTGATGATTTGGGTAATGTATGTCTTATCCATTTCCATCGTCTTTTCCTAATTTCTTCTTCAGCTGGAAGCTGATTTGTTCTCTCCCACAAAAGGCTTTTGCTGATGGTATCCGGCCAATGGATGTTGAGTATCTTGCGAAGACAGCTATTTTTTTAAATACTTGTACCTTCTTGATGGTGGTTGTTGTAGTTCTTCAAGTTTCAGCTCCATACAGTAGAACTGCCTTGACGTTGGTAATGAAGAAAGTGATTTTGATATTGGTTGAAAGTTGTTTTGAGGATGCATACATCACAAAGAAGAGACTGATCAATTTCAATCTGTAACATCAATGGTAAAATTCAAATATGAATAAATTAAAATCTGACATTTATTTTCTATCCTGTGATCATTTCTACAAGAAATCCTTGGTAAAATCTCAGATTGTAGAACTGGAAACAAAAACAAAAAAAAACTTATTCAATAGTGATAACATTGTTAATAACCTCAGTTCATTATGTATATAGTAACGTTGACAACACAAAAATTGTATTGATTGTTTATTTACTCATAGATTTGTAATTCTATGTAGTACAATTCAATAAAATCATAATAATAATGCTTATTACTATTGGCTTTCTAGTTCACTTCAGTCAAATATTGATCGCTATGATAGTAGAAGAAAAAGAAAAGTAAGAAAAATGATGATGATGATGATGACGTTGATGATAATGATTAAATAGAATATCAATATGAATGAAATAACAATAAAGTAAACACCTAATCAGATAATCAATCAATAGTGAATGAATGTGTATACATAAATGTCTGTATTTGTGTACACAGTTCGTTACCATAACAATATGCTTATTTCTAAGTGATGATGAGATATAAATAAATTAATTTTTAAAAAAAAACAATTATGATTGACAGTGCAAATAAAGTTCGTTTTTTTTCGGTAGAAATAATCAGATCTTCATTTTAAAATAAATAACTAAGCTAATGGTAACAGTAATAATAATTATAATAATTTATAGGTAAATAAGTAAGTCCGTTAGTGAACAAGTAAAATATCAATTAGGTGAATATAACAATAATAATAAAATTAGTTAGTAGTAGTAGTAGTAGTAGTAGTAGTAGTAGTAGTAGTAGTAGTAGTAGTAGTAGTAGTAGTAGTAGTAGTAGTAGTAGTAGTAGTAGTAGTAGTAGTAGTAGTAGTAGTAGTAGTAGTAGTAGTAGTAGTAGTAGTAGTAGTAGTAGTAGTAGTAGTAGTAGTAGTAGTAGTAGTAGTAGTAGTAGTAGTAGTAGTAGTAGTAGTAGTAGTAGTAGTAGTAGTAGTAGTAGTAGTAGTAGTAGTAGTAGTAGTAGTAGTAGTAGTAGTAGTAGTAGTAGTAGTAGTAGTAGTAGTAGTAGTAGTAGTAGTAGTAGTAGTAGTAGTAGTAGTAGTAGTAGTAGTAGTAGTAGTAGTAGTAGTAGTAGTAGTAGTAGTAGTAGTAGTAGTAGTAGTAGTAGTAGTAGTAGTAGTAGTAGTAGTAGTAGTAGTAGTAGTAGTAGTAGTAGTAGTAGTAGTAGTAGTAGTAGTAGTAGTAGTAGTAGTAGTAGTAGTAGTAGTAGTAGTAGTAGTAGTAGTAGTAGTAGTAGTAGTAGTAGTAGTAGTAGTAGTAGTAGTAGTAGTAGTAGTAGTAGTAGTAGTAGTAGTAGTAGTAGTAGTAGTAGTAGTAGTAGTAGTAGTAGTAGTAGTAGTAGTAGTAGTAGTAGTAGTAGTAGTAGTAGTAGTAGTAGTAGTAGTAGTAGTAGTAGTAGTAGTAGTAGTAGTAGTAGTAGTAGTAGTAGTAGTAGTAGTAGTAGTAGTAGTAGTAGTAGTAGTAGTAGTAGTAGTAGTAGTAGTAGTAGTAGTAGGAGGAGGAGGAGGAGGAGGAGGAGGAGGAGGAGAAGGAGGAGTATAGTGTATGCTTCTCAAGTAGTATTTAACATCAGTCAAAAGTGGAATGCCTGTCAAAAGAATGTTGAGAAGGCTGAACTAAAGAAAGCGGAAAAGGAAACATAAAGAAATTGAGAATTGGAGGAAGCATGAAGGATGTTAAGGACAATTGATGTAAAATTTGCAAGTGAATTATTTAATGCATAGTTTTTTTTACGTTTTACACTACATGAGTCTTTATTCACTAGAGTATTATTAATGCATGTGATCTATTTGTAAGTATAATATTTGTGCACTAAATTGATTCACTTATCTGATTACCAGTAGTGGTCTCAGATTTTATAATCATATTACACTTGTGCATGTAGGAGAGAGAGAGAGAGAGAGAAATAGAGAACTTTGTATTGATTTTTGTCAGAATAAAAAGTGGTCTCAATTTATCTACATAGAATGAAGTAAAGGATTATCGGGACAATGAATGTGAAATTAAACGTTTTATGGTTCATAAACTATTTCTATGTACCGTGAACTGCTTTAAATTCTATATCAAAATACTATGTGTTCCAAGGCATAGTGTTGTATTTTTAAAACTTTCGATGATAAGGAATAAATTTTCATTAATAAACATTTTCTACAAAATAAAATAAACAATCTGATATATTTGAGTACATATTAGTCTGGTTTACAATCAGACAATCATATATATTTGATAGGTGAGTTCGTCAGTCAATTGAAGCTAGACCACCGTGGAAAAACTGGAAGGACTGGACAGTCGTTTCATCCTAGTGTGCGACTCCTCAACAGTGCTCATCCACGATTCCGCTCGCGGTATTTTCAGGTGGTCTAGCTTTAATTGACTCATGAATTAAACTATTAAATCACTACAATCTCCACAAAACCCCTTTCTGATAATAATCATCATATGCACACTAGTAACGGTCTCTAAGAGGTATTTCCTGGAGTTCTAATTATAAGACGTGATCAATAAAATTCAACCGGGTCTGTTGTGAGATAGTAACTGATTGACGACAATGGTGGATGTGTCGTTCAATTTTGTGGATTAGTTGAAGATAGACATTAACACTGTTGGATGCGAGACGGCTCAGTGGTCCAGAGGTTAATCGTTCACGCTCGAGACCGGTAGGTCCTGGGTTCGAATTGGGATCGTAGATACGTACTGTTGAGGAGTCCCACAATATGACGAAATGACCATCCAGCGCTTCCAGGTTTTTCATATTGGTCTAGCTTCAATTGATTCACAAACTCAAATATTAAATTACTATAATATCCACAAAACCCCTTTTTGATAATAATCGTATCTATGACCAAAAATGTGTAGACCATTGAGTTATTTAATGTTAATTTACAGTGGGATATTATATCATATGATAGTCACTTTATATGTAACATAAATTGTTGATATGGAGAAAAACCTAGAATGTTAAACGAAATAGTTACTGTCACTAGTAGATATATTGGATAATGTAAGATCCTCTTATGACGACTAAGAATAATTCGAAACTCTTCTTCAACATGATTTGAAAAGATTAGAAGGATCATTAATCACTGGACATCGATTGCATTATTATCATTGACACGTCAACAATAGTATTCACAAATAACTGAAAGTGATATTATCCCTCGATAACTTTCAAGTATCTCATCTAATAGAATAGAAAAATACAGTCGATCTGATTTCATAACATTAGTTATACATGTCCTGATAATGATTACACAATACACACCTAATTTGTATGCATGATCATGTTGTTGCAACAACATAGAGGTACCCATTCAACAACAACAACAACAACAACAACAACAACAACAACAACAACAACAACAACAACAACAACAACAACAAATACCGGTATATAATTTGAAAAAATGAAATTATTCATTCAAACTTTTTGACGGAATATTTATCACCGAGTTACCGAATATGCAAAGTATAAGATGAATATTTAAAAAAAGAAAAAAAAGATACATGATCTGAATTAACATTTAAGAGGACAGTATTACATACAAAATACATGCTGTAATGGTTAATCATTTAAATGCAGTGTTGTTATCTAATAAATAGTGTATGAAAGTAGAAATTTGCTATAAAAGAATAAGTGGCATAACAAGAATTTCACATACAATTTGATTGATTAAAAGAAATAAAATTCAGGACAGCGTGAGTTGGAGAATGCTGGTCGACGGCCTATGTTACATTGGAAATAACAGCTATAAGTAAGTAAGTAAGTAAGTAAGTAAGTAAGTAAGTAAGTAAGTAAGTAAGTAAGTAAGTAAGTAAGTAAGTAAGTAAGTAAGTAAGTAAGTAAGTAAGTAAGTAAGTAAGTAAGTAAGTAAGTAAGTAAGTAAGTAAGTAAGTAAGTAAGTAAGTAAGTAAGTAAGTAAGTAAGTAAGTAAGTAAGTAAGTAAGTAAGTAAGTAAGTAAGTAAGTAAGTAAGTAAGTAAGTAAGTAAGTAAGTAAGTAAGTAAGTAAGTAAGTAAGTAAGTAAGTAAGTAAGTAAGTAAGTAAGTAAGTAAGTAAGTAAGTAAGTAAGTAAGTAAGTAAGTAAGTAAGTAAGTAAGTAAGTAAGTAAGTAAGTAAGTAAGTAAGTAAGTAAGTAAGTAAGTAAGTAAGTAAGTAAGTAAGTAAGTAAGTAAGTAAGTAAGTAAGTAAGTAAGTAAGTAAGTAAGTAAGTAAGTAAGTAAGTAAGTAAGTAAGTAAGTAAGTAAGTAAGTAAGTAAGTAAGTAAGTAAGTAAGTAAGTAAGTAAGTAAGTAAGTAAGTAAGTAAGTAAGTAAGTAAGTAAGTAAGTAAGTAAGTAAGTAAGTAAGTAAGTAAGTAAGTAAGTAAGTAAGTAAGTAAGTAAGTAAGTAAGTAAGTAAGTAAGTAAGTAAGTAAGTAAGTAAGTAAGTAAGTAAGTAAGTAAGTAAGTAAGTAAGTAAGTAAGTAAGTAAGTAAGTAAGTAAGTAAGTAAGTAAGTAAGTAAGTAAGTAAGTAAGTAAGTAAGTAAGTAAGTAAGTAAGTAAGTAAGTAAGTAAGTAAGTAAGTAAGTAAGTAAGTAAGTAAGTAAGTAAGTAAGTAAGTAAGTAAGTAAGTAAGTAAGTAAGTAAGTAAGTAAGTAAGTAAGTAAGTAAGTAAGTAAGTAAGTAAGTAAGTAAGTAAGTAAGTAAGTAAGTAAGTAAGTAAGTAAGTAAGTAAGTAAGTAAGTAAGTAAGTAAGTAAGTAAGTAAGTAAGTAAGTAAGTAAGTAAGTAAGTAAGTAAGTAAGTAAGTAAGTAAGTAAGTAAGTAAGTAAGTAAGTAAGTAAGTAAGTAAGTAAGTAAGTAAGTAAGTAAGTAAGTAAGTAAGTAAGTAAGTAAGTAAGTAAGTAAGTAAGTAAGTAAGTAAGTAAGTAAGTAAGTAAGTAAGTAAGTAAGTAAGTAAGTAAGTAAGTAAGTAAGTAAGTAAGTAAGTAAGTAAGTAAGTAAGTAAGTAAGTAAGTAAGTAAGTAATTATGAATCTTTAGAAGCTAAAATATATATAAATTAGACCTACTAGATGTTGATTGTAATACACTGAAAGACAAACAACAAATAAAGCAACAAGAATGGAAAGCACATCAAAATGTTTCATTTTTTTGTTATCCAACCAGTTGAGGATTCCATATCCTTTGTACTTACCGTGGTTTCTGTTAAATTTAGTAAGAACCACTTCGATTATTTATTGATCACGATGACTCCATTCATCATTATCTAAATCAATAAACTGATATAACACTCTCATCATTGTTAGCTAAATCACTCCATTCAATTTCGTTATCATTATCTGATTTAATACAATAAATTGTTTCAGTTCAATTAATCTATAATTTGATTGATGACATTGTTGCTTAATGCACATAATTCATAAAAGTTTACTCAGTTATGTCATGCTTGTTCAAATCGATATAGTAATGTAAATAGCAACCTATTTGAATTTTGAATATGTTAATGTAATTTCTTTTAATGATTTAAACAATTACACAGATTGAAATCATGAGTCAGTTGAAGCTAGACCATGATTTCAATCTGTGAAATTTCTAAAATCTCCACAAAACCCATTCTGATAATAATCAACTGCTCACTAGTGACTGACTTCAAGAGATACTCTTGGAGTTCTAGTGAGAAGTCGTTACCAGTGGAGTTCAACCAGGTCTGTTGTGAGATAGGAACTCACTGAAGACGATGGTGTACGGTGGCGCAACTTCGTGGATTGGTTGAAGTTAGACATTAACACTCATGATTTCAATCTGTGAAATTTCTAAAACTCTCCACAAAACCGATTCTGATTTAAACAATTACTTAATTAGAATGAGTTTTGTGGAGAATTTAGGAAATTTCACAGGTTTACATAATGAGTCAGTTGAAGCTAGACCACCATGGAAAACCTGGAAGCACTGGACGGCCGTTTCGTCCTAGTATGGGACTCCTCAGCAGTGCGCACCCACGATCCCGCACCACGCGGGGCTCGAACCCAGTAGGTCCTGGGCTACTGCCGGTCCCAAGCCCTGATAATAGTGGGGGGTTGGGCATAGGGTTATCGACCCCATCCTATAGAAAACTAACTCGCTAAGAAAACACTAACCAGAAAAAAATAATTCAAGTCATTTAAACAATTATTTATGTACTTTGTATTCGTGAGAATGGTTATCACATATAATTCTTTGTTTATGTACCAATTGAACAGCAGAAACATCTCCAGAGTTTGACAAGTTCGTTATAATAGAGTTCGACCTAAATAAATTAGTATATGCGACTAGACATGTCTTAATTAATTATGCCTGTTATCCCCAATGAAGCATAGGCTGACGACCAGCAGTTCTCCAACCCGCTCTGTCCTGGGCCTTCCTTTATAGTTCTATCCAATTTTTGTTGATTCTTTTCATGTCTGTCGCCATTTCTCAGAATATTGTGTTCTTTGGTCTTCCTCTTTTCATTTAGCCTTGAAGATTTCCAGTGAGGGCTTGCCTTATGATGTGGTTTCCTTAATGTGTGTCTTATCCACTTCCAGCACTTCCTCCTGACTTCTTCCTCCGACTAGATATGTCTTGTCATTCTATATTTAATTCATTCGTAAAAACACTTTTGTGTTTAAAAGTGATGAAATGTAATATATAATTGTCACAACGGTAATTTTAATAGATTAATTTAGTTTTATAACGATGAAATGACCGCTGAAATAACTGAAATATTACAATATGCAAAGTGTGATCCCTTTTCGATATAAAAAAATATACAGAAATACCAATAGAATGTGGATTGTACAAAAATTGCCAAGTCCCATTTTACGATCGAGAAGTGTGAAAACAGATAACTAGAAATGATAATACTGATTA